TTGCAATGTTAATACATGATCTTTTTTATATTTGAGTTACAATTATTGGAAAATAAAAAAATAAACAATTTTTCGTTTTTGTTTTATTTGTTTTATTGAAACTCTGACAAACTTTACCACGGATAAAATTTGATATTGACCTTCACGCCTGTTGATATGAGATCTTCTAATTGCGTGCATTCATGAGTATTAGGCCACATTATAAATTAATATGCTGGGTCAAACATAAATTATAATGCATTTCAGTGCATAGAGGGGGCCCTGTCTTCCTGAAATGTTCAATTAGTCAAAGCATATGCTGACGTGTAAATATTATTCTATAGACTCCCACTAGACCTTGATGTCGTTCGCTGTAGAAATGTTAAGAATTCAATCGAGTTTACCATATTCCACAAAGTAAAATAATAATGTATTTTTATAATGTTAATGTATTTATATTAATGTATTAAATATTAATGTATTTTGAAGTAAAATTTAAATTCAAAATACATTAATAGCGATAAAGATGAGTCAGTAAAATTTTCGGCGAGGTATTTCCTAAGAATGACATGTTTGGGGTTTTAGATAATTGTCTTACTGAAATTGATACAACTTTTGCTGAAGTCCAAAGGTTCTTCATTTACTTACTGGAAACATAAGAATACTTATTGATAATATATGAAAATATCGCTCGATTAATTATTTTGATGGGTTAAAATATTTCCTAAACAAAATGTTGTTACCAAAATATGATCAGTCACCCGGATTGCGAAAGGTCAAAGGTTCGTGTCCCATCTCAGAGTGCCAGGGATTGTGGATTTTTTAAGCATTTTGCACTAAGCATATGTATTTTTAAGTGTAGCATTATGAATGAAAAATTAATCAAATAGAATAATGATTAAGATCTATTATTTAATATTATTTTTAACATAATGATATAGATAAAACCTATTCTTATGTATTTATCAGACAATGGCAACGTTTCGTATACTTTTCTTAATTTATACTTTATACGCTGTTTATTGTTTGTGTGTCACTCTCTTCTTTACTTTCGTCTGACGATTATGTATTAACAAAGTAAAATATATTTATATACATCAATCCACTGAATCTCTTAATTCATATTTACCTACCCTCCTCCCCCGCCCCGCTAAACCCACCCGCGCCGAAGTAACAGCCGTTTTAAAAGTTAACTCACTATTGGTCCACCCTGTATATTGTTTCGGGTCTGAGTGTTGTGGCACCTTCGTTGTTTCAAAAACTCCATAATACGGGGGCTTTAGTTACTCTTCTTGGAATAGGAGCAAAGTACGTGATGTTGCCTTATATGTATTTATTTATGTATATGTTAGTGAATATTGTTAAAAATAAACCACTAGTTATGACTATTTATTGTAATCAAATTTGTCTTTTTCGTCATTGCAGAATACTCCCTAACACCTTGAGTTTCTTTAAATATGTACCGGCAATTATATAATAATATATAAGGCAATTCTTAAATAGAGGTAAAAGGAGACAAGATGGAAGGGCTAACTTTGTGTATTAATAAAGGTAATTAAATAATGATTAGTTTCTAATTAACAATAACAATATTCTAGTTAGAAAACCCTGAGAAATTGCACTTGCCGTCTAGATAAGGGCAAAATGGAAAGGTTAAAGGCAATTTGGAACGTACGAGTATAATATAAATTTAAGATTTGTAATTAATATTTAATATACAACCATTTTCTAGCTTACGTATTTATTTACAATACGACAGACATCGTAAGTAGTTTTCTATAGCTGATTTTTAATATTTTTCTCTGAAAACCTAGAAATAACTATTGTTTTTACCTTTCATTGTTATTTTTTGTTTTTCCGTTATTTTTAGAATAATATTTGTTTTTCATTGCTATAACTGTCATTTTTTGTACTCCTTCCATTTTGACCTCAACTTCAAATTTCCATCTTGCCCGTATGCTGGCTTGACTACCAAGTAGTGCACTTTTATTCCCCAGGAATCCTCAGTAGATGGAGAGAAGTCTATAGTGGATAGAAAGTTCGTTATAGCTTACAAACTCCTTGTAGACCCTTGATAAGGTATTCCTCATCAAATGAGTGCAGATTGTACAATAATAATAAAACTTTTAAGTTTCTAAAATACCACTTAGGAGGTATTGATGTTTTTATAATAGGTATATCGTTAATATTCTGAAATTTTAAATAAATATGTTTAAATTTTTGTGCAAAATACTTTCTTTAGCGAAAACTATATTTTTCAAGATTTGGACTTTTAAATTAAGGAGGTCTTGTCAACTGAGCACAACCATAAGCACAATCAATATTTTTCGGTATAGCATTATGAATGAAGAATTTATTAAATATGATAATTAGAACAAATTATATGGCCGTATAGGTGTTCAATAAAAAAAAATATGTACATTGACATTCTTTGCGTTATATTAATGCTTATAAGTATGCATTGCAATATCACAAATTATGTATCTGAAAATGAAGTGAGAGATTAAAATGTTACAAATATTTATACTTCGATATTTCTATTATCTAGATATTTTAAGAAATAGGTATAAAATACAATATATGTAAGTATATGATGTAATGAAAACATACTCTCAAATGTGCGATACAGGTATACTAAATCATAATGTTAAATCAAAACAAAATATCAAAGAGTAAAGCATAAAAGAATATCTTATCTTCTTGCAAAATGCCAATTACAATATTCGGATACACTCACCTAAACATAATATTAAACACAAAACAATGTTTATTGCACGGCTCAAAACAGGCATATGATAATGATAAAATCATTTAATTTTTTATTTATCACGACAATACGTTTCAGATATCTGTGGTTTTCTATTTAATATAAAATTACCAAGTTGTAATTGTGTTTATAATATGCATGTATCTAAACGTAAATTAATTGTGACTTTGTCCTTACGTACTACTTTTATGGTATATTTTACATGTAAAAATTAATTTATTTACTTGACATTGGCAGAATTGTGCGAAATGCGCAGATAAGCCATTAATAAGAAAAAGAAGAAGATGAAGGCGTATTTTATCGTATGTTCTAGAGAATTGTGATCGGTACCATATACTTTAATTTATTTTAAACATAATTTTTACAAATTAGTATTACTGTACAATTTAATTGATTCTTTGGGCAGGATGTCGGCCATGTCATTCTCATCCGAAAATTTAAATGTTTGTAAAAATATTTCTTTCGGCTGTTTGAGTGGTATGCCTGAACATTGATAAAAATACGCTCACTGGTAGCGAAAAGTAACAAGTGCTTGAAAAAGTCGTCAGTCCTTTTCGGTTCTGTGTACCTCAGTGTTTGGAGCAGTCGCCCGGATTGCGAAAGGTCTCGGGTTCGAATCACATTTCAGATTACTTTTTAGTTTATTTAGTTTTCATCACGATTTAGTTATTTATATTGACAAAATTATTTACTACGGAAGAGTTTTATATATTCTGTTTTATGCATAAATTTTTAATATGCAGATTGGAAGCCATTGTAGTACATATTGGATTTAAATAAGCCCTTTATGCTTTATACGAGATACTAGACTGACAGATACTTTTCATAAACGATTTAACAGAAAGAATCTTTATAAATGTCGCTAATAATTATAGGTTAAAACTGATATATTTATCTGATGTCTCATTATTTCTTTAGCTTGAACTCATCAATTTGGTGTAGAATATGGAAAATTCCACTCGGTTTAATGCACAGTATTCTTTGTTACTCTTTAAGTTTATACTAGAGAAGTTCTTCAATGAAGCATTAAATTGCATCATTAACTTTATTTACCCGCTCTTCTGTCTCTGCAACATCTGGGTAATATTAATGAATAATTTAGTTTCTAAGAAGAGAATGTTTTACTTAGGTCGTAATGTCGTACGTTTCAACAATTATGCGTTGAATGAGATGAACAGAATTTAAAATTAAAGACAACCCCCTCTGCGATTGTGGCATTGAGGAAGGAACTACGGATCATATTTTATTTAATTGTTTAAATTTATCCATTTCGCTTTATGATTTGCTACCATCAAAAGTTTCACGTCCAATAAATATAAAATGTATCTTGAGTATGGAGAATCCCAGCCCATTCAAAATTTTATCTAAATTCTTTGCAATCAATAATAGTCTTAATTTATAAATATATTTGTTTTCTATATACATTCTATTTGTATTATCTTTAACAATGTAATCAGATAGACGCGCTCAGAGCTATTTTTTTTATTTTATTTAAATTCAAAATTTTACATATTTTATTATTGTTTCTATACGTGTAAAGACCACAAACGTGACATTGGCGGAATTGTATAAATGCAAATAGGCCATGAATTAAAAAAGAAGAAGAAGAGATGAACAGACTGAGAAACCTAGTGACAGCCAAAAAGTAAAAAAAATATAAACAAACAAAAAGGTTTTTTAACATTTTTTTAAGAGCGTCTTAATAAAAGCTTCTTAATGGAATTTTCAGATCGTGACTTATTAATTTTTGTTACGCTTATCTCGCATGTGCGAGATGAGAACAAGAATTCAAGCCAATATATTTTTATACATTTCGAAATCGGAACGTAGTTACGATCGTATCAGCTGTATCTATGGAATTCCTTGGGCTGCAGAGGTTGCCACTGTTGTGTGTGAGGACAAACATGATAAAATATATCGAAAATCCAGAGTAAACTATAGCCAATTATATCTCAACAATTGGTTTCATGCTCTGCTCTCTATCTTTGTTGCGATAAATTAAATGCACGTCGCCGTATCAGTTTTGATTTATTTATCTTAATAGGTCAATTAACAAGATAATAATTATTCATAATTGCAGAGTAACGATAAAAGTTACTGCCACTGCGAGTAAAGAGCTCATATTAGAATATTTGATACTAAATTGGCTCAGAATGATAGTTTATGATATACGGTCATTGTCTCTTTGTTGTTTAGTTTCGCCAATGTGGCATCATATCACTGTCAGTTATGTTTAGACTATTGTAGCATCAAAATGCTTGTGGAAATAGTGATATTTTTACTCACTTTTGTGTTGGCATATTTCTATTACACTTATTATAGGATTCATAAGTTCTTACGGCAGAAAGGTGTGAAGTTCATACCCGGTCTCCCGGTGTACGGGAATGCGTTGGAGTCGATGAACAATAGGAAACATGTTATCGATGAAATTGTTGAGATCTACAATGCTTTTCCTAATGAAAGGTAAAGGATATTCAATCTATACTGACATCAAGCCCGAGAAGTTTATTTGTTTGTTTGCTCGCTTATAATCTATTAAACCATTGGTTATTTTCTATTTGTTTAAAGTCTCATAGTCCATTTTCGGAATATGGATTTAAAGTTATAAATATTAAGTTCTGTTAGTATATATGGAGTGTTTTTATTTTACCAAATATATTAGTAAGATAATCGAAGCTTCCGATAACATTGGAATAATGTTATCGAAAGCTTCGAAATTGGGACAGGACTTGACACAAACTGTCATTTTCATGCAATGTAAGATTTTGTTATGTAATATTTTTTATATATTACTTAATCGTAACTATATGATTTGTGGGACACTAAATGGTTATATTTTATTTTATAAAACTGACGGTGGATAATTGAAAAACTCTAAAGACACCGTAATTAAAAATGTGAAGATAACATTACATGTTGAAGTAGAATAATATTGTCAAAAAGCGAACTCATAAAAATATTTAAAATATTTCACATGAAAAGGAAAATAGTTAAAATGGCTTAAATGAGTAACTTGTTAGTAGAATCCTGATGGTTTTTTACGTTATATTTTTGCCTGTTTTTCTCATTGACTAGCCCTTGCAATTTTATCTTATTATTTTTACGAGTCTGTGAATCCGAAATGGTTCTTTTTATGATAACGTAGTTTATTTTATAGAAAACTGTTAAAGTTTCAAACAAATTATGTATTTCAATAAATCAACGAAACTTATATGATCGCATGTCATCTGAATCATAAAAAGAACCTTAAAACCTAACCGATAAACGATATGCTTCGTATCAAAATAAATTAAAATAAGAAAAATTCGGGGCCAACATTGGCTCTTTCGGTTGGCAGAGCTGAATAGCATAAAAAACAAAGGCCTTGTTATTCCGATGAGTTCATATAAGGATTTTTTTCGTTAATGTTTATTATTTCTACAGATATGTCGCGTACATCGAAGCATCCACCCCGATTATCCTGATTCGCGATCCAGAATTGATCAAAGCAATAACCGTCAAAAATTTCGATTATTTCGTGGACCATAGACAGTTTTTCCCCGAAGTGGACATATTCGGGATGAGTGTGTTTGGAATGAAAGGTAATCTTAGAATGAAAATCATCATCAGCCTTGTTACGTCCCCGCTGCAGGGACTCAGGCCTTCCTTATGGGTGGCTAAGGAAGATGGGCCCTAACCCTCACGGTAACCCAGTATGGATTGAAGGATATTAACGACTAGAAAAGCAGCCGGGACCAACAGCCCAACGTGACTTCCGAAGCACGGAGTAGCCCGAAATGATGTTTTTACACCTGAATTACATTTTTATTTTAATCTTAACTTAGCCAATCTCTAACGGTGGTCGCTTGGAAGAAATCGCTTATTAGCGACATGGCCGCCGATTGTACTTTACTTTGTTTTTGTCTATAGGTTTCACGTTCTCGTTTAATATTGTGTTTGTACAGTAAAGCATAATTCAATTATTTAGTTTTAATAGAAGATTTATTTTGTTATATGTTTGGATCAATTTGCGGGATATGACATTTCTGTACGACATTTTTCGCTGGAGCTATTGATGGCGCCGAGCCACAGCTTACATTATTATTTTTTAACATTCAGCACACTCACAGCCATGCTAGACACTGCTTCTTTGTTTTTTGAACTACAGTTCGTCTATGTCGCACAGAGTAGGGAAAAAAATATTATATATTTTGATTACTGAACCTCACAATACCTTAATGTTTTGCAAATCCTACTAATATTATTACAGGCGAAAGTTAGTAGGTTTGGGTGTTTGTTACTTCTTTAGGAAAAAACCACTGAATGGATTTTTATGATATTTGATTAATGCATAGGCTACTGTTCCGTAAAGAACAGGTGTAATGAAAGACAACAAAACTGTGGGTGTTTTTATTGTCTATGGGCAAGACGATTAGCTGCCTTCGTTCCAAATCCCCACCCTTAATCCTTGGGTGACGGTTTTTTACTGCGAGTTCAAATTCCAAACGGCGCGCACCTAATTTTGATTGAGCTTGGAGAATTGTTCGTGGTATTGAGAATAAGGACATTTCGGAAGAACGGTGGATCAGTGCCTGTGGACTATATACCGTGTATTATATTTTCGCTGGTAACCGCGTCGACGCACCCCGTACCAGAACCTAGCCCTCGAAATCCGTGGCGGCAAAGGATCGCTTAAGGTGAGTCGCCAACCCCTGCTTAGTATCGTACAGCTAATTTTTATTAAACGGTTTTATTTAGCTTACCCCGTTTGTTTCGTGGTTCAAATTTAGTGATTGAAATTTCACCCTTTTTCGTCAACTGATTGATCTGAAATTTGGTATACGCCTTTGATTCTGGTGACTATACAATTATGTACATTCAATATTATTGTGAGTCCAAGATGGCCGCCGCTACAAGATGGCAGACAACTTATTTTTTTCTTAATCCCATCAATATAGATAACAAACGAAAGAGCATGGTAAGTAGAATACAGTTCATCATACAAAATCAAAATTCAAGATGACCGCCGCTACAAAATGGCGGATAATATAGTTTTTTCTTCAATCCCATCAATATGGGTATCAAGTTAAAGGGTTTGTTAACTAGAACACAGTGCACAATACAAAATCAAAATCCAAAATGGATGCCGCTACAAGATGGTAGACAACTCATTTTTTTCTTAATCCCATCAATACAGATATCAAATGAAAGAGCATGATAAGTAGAATAGAGTTCATCATACAAAATCAAAATTCAAGATGGCTGCCGCTACAAAATGTCGGGTAATATAGTTTTTTCTCCAATCCCATCAATATGGGTATCAAGTGAAAGGGCTTGTTAAGTAGAACACAGTGCACTATTCAATATCAAAATCCAAAATGGCCGCCGCTACAAGATGGAAGACAACTCATTTTTTTCTTAATCCCATCAATATAGAGGAAAAAAACTAAATTATCAGCCATTTTGTAGAGGCGGCCATCTTGAATTTTGATTTTGTGTGATGAATTGTATTCTACTTAAAAAATAGAAAAATAACATTCGTAAGGACCGCTTACAGGATGGGTGACCAAAGCATTATTATCTTGAGCACTGTGCACAGCACTTGCATAATGCACGTTAAGCCGCTAGTCCTGGCCGCATCAGCAATGTTAACACCCATCGATCCGCATTAAGCACGCGTAGTGGGTTATGGCCCATTGATCTTATTCGATTCGACTGCATTGATAGGAAAAAATAAATTCTACCAAAATACTTCCCACGCAGACGAAGTCGCGGGCACAGCTAGTATATATATATATTAATACTGATAAATCAAGTCAAAGTAGGGCACACCAATTGATTGGAGATAATATTCTCGTACTTCGCTCTTAAATGCGAAACTGTTTGGCGCATTCCGGATATTCAAAGGAAGTGCATTCCAAAGTCTTATGGCTGTGAGGGTAAAAAGATCTGACACAAACCGAGTATGATGAGTAGGAGTTTAAAGTACCAGATTACAACCGGAGCGAAGTTCCTTCTGATGTGCAACTCCTAAGAATTGAAACCTAGATTTCTCTCCTTCTAAAACCTAGAATTCTCAAGTTTATCTTCAGCATACAATTGCAAATCATCAGCGTACAGATGATAAGAGGTTGACAGAGTAGATGTGAGAAAATTTATAAATAAGGAAAAAAGAAGTGGAGAAAGAACGCCGCCTTGAGGCACACCAGCAATTAAGTCATCCCAATCGAAAAATGATTGATCAACCCGTACTAATTGCTGGCGCCCGCGAAGATACGATAGGAACCAAGCAAGCACAGTGGAAGAACATCCAAATTGAGCGAGAAGAACAAGTAAGACGTCATGGTCAACTGTGTTAAAGGCATTGGAGAAGTTAAGTAGGACTAAGACAGTAAGACATGTATCATCCATGCCATCACGTATATCCTCCACGATTTTAAGAAGTGCTGTAGTGATGCTGTGTCTAGGTCGAAATCCAGATTAAAATGGAGATAGAAGCTGGGTGCGAAAAATGGAAGAGGAAAGTTGTTTATGAACTACCGCTTCAAGTACCTTTGACAGAAAAAGTAGAATAGAAATGGGTCTAAAATGATTCAAGGAGCTGGGGTTGGAGACTTTTAGAAGAGGGATAGCATAGGCCTTATGCCATACAACAGGAAATGAGCCGGATGATAAGGAATAGTTTAGAATGAAAGTAAGTATAGGCATTATGGCATCAAGTAGTAAGATAATCATCTTCCGATTTATGTTATCATAGCCGGTGGCCTGAGATTTAATAGAAAGAACTATCTTGCGGATATCGTCCTCTGTTACTTGAGCAAAGGTAAAGAAAGTGTCAGATGGCATAGCCGTGGATGGAATTTTAGAAAATGTGAAAAATTTAACATTATTGGACATAGTTTTAATACTAGAAAAATGATGAAAATCAGATGGATAATGTCTGCAGTAAAATCCATCGCACCCTTGGTTTGCTTTATCGACTTAAGAACTTTCTCCCTCCCCGTACTAAATCTACTCTCGTCCAAGCTCTTGTACATCCCCTTTTCGTCTATGCTGATGTTTGTACTTCAGATATCAATGAAACCTTTCTCAATAGATTGGATCGTTTTTTGAACAATACAATTCGTTTTGTTTTCGGTTTGCGCAAATATGACCACATCTCCAATTTTCGCCAATATCTTGAGTAGCTTCCTATTCGGGAGCGTAGGTGCTTAAGAATTGTTTGCATACTTTTTCAGATACTTTTCGATCCACGAGCACCTGAGTATTTGAAATCACGGTTTGAAATCCTCAGTGCCTCTAACCTGAAAAATCTTTGCTCTATTAGTAGACTGGTACTCCAAACCCCTTCTCATTATTCTTGTTTTGTATCTCATTTCTTCACTCTAACCGCCCTCCGTCTTTGGAATGCACTGCCTTTGAACGTTCGAAGTGCTCCTAACAAATTTGGATTCAAGACAGCAGCTCGCAACTTCTATTATGCTTCAAACAAGATTTCTTGATCTGACACCAGATGTTGTTTCGTACTTTGTGTTATAGTTATATATATGCATTTATTTATGTATGTGTATGTATGTCTATTGTTGTATGTATTTTTATATATATTTAGATATAGTTCTTATGTAGAGATATCAATAGCGTATTGTCGCCTATCGCCACTTTAAGTTTTGTACTAAATTTACTAGTTGACTGGTAGAGAATGCCTCTTTGGCACTTAGTCCGCCATTTGTCTATTACACTAGGCAATTTAGATTAAATAAATAAATAAATATTCTTGTTAGAAGCTACTTTACATTGTTTACCTAAATTTGAGTCCAAGGCTCCTAATAATTAAGTTGTTATTGAAATACTATTAGCTTTGTACTATGTAGTAATTATTTTTATTCCATTTATGTATTTGACTAATTGCGTTGCTTAGTGTAGCGTCAAAATACTGAAATCTTATAACAAAATCACGAAAAATATATTGAATGTAAACTTAATAAATATTAAATAGGCATAATATTATTGGGAAATATTACAATCATAGATATAAAACTAGGCAGTTGTACTAAATATACTATAATCGTTTATATAAGTCGTATAACCAATATATATTTCTTTATTTGATAAATCAATAATCGATATTTGGTATACCAAGTATCGGATGTTGATTGGTTGTCAAATCATTGGTCCTTGCTGTATTAACAGTAACGATCACTAGTCCGCACTGGGTCTGCGTAGTTATTTCTGTTCTTTCTCTCCTTTTTATGGATATCTATTTGATTCCATTCAATGAGAAGGCCTGTACGCTAGAAAAGGGGAGATCAATAGCAGATGATGAAAAGCTGGATCACTCATTGGTTAACGTCTTCCGTCTACTATATGGTAGTTGAGCAACTTTCACAAGGGTCGGTCTTGGGATGGATGACCAATTTTTTTATATGTTAAAGCAATAGGCTACCTCTTCCTCCCTTTTCGCCATCTCGTTATTTCTTCTCTTTTCCTGCCCTCTGGTCTTTTTTATCCACCCTTCTCGACCTGGGATAGTATCCCATATAGAGAGGTAGCGAACATCAAATCGCTCACTCTTACTATCACTCTCGATTCCCCACTTATGTCGATTTTGAACAGATTTACAAACACAGTGAAAATAAAACCATTTACAATAAAATAAAACGGCTCATTTCTCCTTATCTGATTTTATAGGAAAGCGATGACGATGAAAAATACATCGAAATTATCTTTTATAGGTGACAGATGGAGAGACATGAGAACAACTTTGAGTCCAGCTTTCACTGGGTCTAAAATGAGATTGATGCTACCATCCTTGGTGGAGGTAGCCGGCTATACAGTGGACTACCTGAAAGGTAAGGTAATGTTATTATAACAGCACCTCAGGTAATGTTATATGTTTTGGTGTCGTTTTTTGACTACCTATTCTCCTATATTTGTCGGTTTTGTATAATTCGATGAGCTGTTGATAGTACTTGGACGTATCCAAGGCACCAGCAACCAATACACTTTGTGATGGAGCAATCGCTATAATAGATAACTGATGGTGAACATAAAAGTATAATAAGTGATTATAGATCCAAATTCCATCCATAAAGATAGAATACTAAAGTAACTTGAAACGAAGCTGACTTTATTTTTGAATAACAACATTAATTCAGTTGAATGTTTGTCAACTGGAACTAAGGTAAATTTGATGATTCTAGAGCATGCTGGCGAAGAAATTAACGTAGACGACCTCATACGACGCTACACTAATGACGTCATCGCATCCGTTGCTTTTGGCCTTCAGGTCAACTCTTACAAGGACAAAGACAACGAGTTCTTCCGCGTTGGTCGGGATTTATTTAAGTTCACATATTGGCAGTATTGTGTCATGTTTTTGTATGCGCAAGCACCATTTATCGCAAAGGTATAGTTGATCTTTCAATTGAAGTATTGCCATACATTTATGTTTATGTACAGTATTAGTGAAAGAGAGAAGAAGGGCATAAGGAGATCATCTGTAACATCCTAATAATTAATGTTTTGCATTATGATCAGTAGTCATTCTTGATTTTACCATCCTGTTAAACATAAAATAATATTTATATTCAATTTAATTATGTGTAATATATTATGTGTAAAAACTTAATTCAGTAAATTTTTGTCTTTGTCGACCAATTATTGGCTTATCTATTTTTTTAATCACTATTACTAGTTTTATTGATTGCTGGTTTTCTGTTTAAATTAAATTTCTTAACATTTGCCGTAAAGCCTAACCAATACTTATACAGAGCAAACGAACGAAGCTTAAACAGAGTTAGAGACGAGCTATCAGTGGATTCAGATACCTAAAATAAACATAATTTATTTCCAGATGCTTCGATTAAAAATGTTTACAGGAAAGGGTGTTACATTTCTCCGCGAAATTGTTGTGAGCACAATGGAATACAGGGAAAAAAATAACGTGGAGAGACCCGACATGATACAGCTGCTGATGGAGGCATCAAAAGGTACACAGCTCCATTACAATGAGATTTATTGTTGAGATAACTGTGGAAAACATATTACCGAAAACACTAGCAACAGGTAATTCTATTGAATACATACAGTGGCATTTTTATATTTAGCTGTGTTAGTATATGGTCACTTTGAAGCAGATGATAAGACGTACATGGTACTAAAGATTTAGCAGTTTTTATGAGAAAAGAACTGGTTATTGTAGAGGAAGTGGAGCACAATAATGAAGTATCTTATGCATGCCCATAAATATAAGGAACAAAAGAATCACACGTTCTGTGTTTCTTTAGGATATATATCACTATTGATAAAGATTGACATTTATATTGATATATTCATTGTTTTTAAAATTTATGTCATAAAAACTAAGCGAATGCACAAAAAATTTTTTAGAACGACTGATGAAAGCAGGTTCTAACTTTCTTTAGCAAATCATGATGAGAAAAATCCATTTATCTGGCTGTTTCATTTGGGAATTAATACGATACACAAAAGTATTATAATCAGTCACAATATGTTAGATAGCTATTTTTGCTAGCATTTAACGACAATACTCTACATCTACGTCGAGTGCGAATTTAACACTGATTGACATTTATTAAATTAAAAAATATACCAAATTGAAATCATTTCTGTGTGTAAGATCACTATCGCACGTATTACAAATCATTTACGTTAGTTAGGTTAGTTAAATAATCGACGATTTTTTTTAGGTACTCTTAAAGCAAGTCAAGTAAACAATGAAGACAATGTCGGCTTCGCTGCTGTCGAAGAAGAACTAAAACCTCAAGGCCAAACAAGGAGTAAGTTATTCAAGTCCTTTCTAGACCGTTCTAAAACAAGCCAGATACAATATGCGAACGGCGGCTTTTATTCTGAATAATTATTTAAGTATATGATTACTGTTATATGATTTATATGATTAGTATATGATTATGAATACAATACAGTGAAGCTCTTTTATTTAAAAAAAATGATGAATATGGATTCTATGAATCCAATATTCAATTTGTAGATATATTTCAGTTATCGATAGATTTATACTCTTTAAGTTGAGTGTATTTGATACTTTTTCAGAGTGGGAGATGGATGATCTTGTCGCCCAAGTATTTTTGTTCTTCACTGCTGGTTTTGAAACTACAGCTTCCTCTTTAGTTCTTTGTATTCATGAGTTGGCATTAAATGTTGAGATACAAGAAAAATTATACGAAGAAATTAAAATTTTTAAGAATACAAACGATCTGACTTATGAGAGCATTGGAAAACTGAAGTATTTGGACTGTGTTTTGAATGGTATTGTCTTTTTTTTTTACTAAAATTATGTAATTTTTTTGAAGAAAAGAAACATCTATGAAGTTAAGATAGATAAAGAAAGGAAGACCAACATCCTGAACTTAGGAATACCTTTTAATTTAACCTTCAATGAAATATTTGCGAATAAACATAAAATATTTTTAAACTCACACGATTTGTATACATTATAATTATATGTAATCGGGATTTAATTTAATGTAGATCGTGACCACGGCTGCTGTAACGTAGCCGAAACGTCGAGGTAAATTAATAGTTTTAAAAAATGCATGAATAAGACCCGATTACATATAATTATAAAACATAAAATATCCGAAGCTTTGTCCACCAAGCTAGTGGTAGCTATAAAAGTAACATGGCACCAAAATGGCCCTTTAATGCCACACTATTCAGCAGTATTGCTTTTATAGATTTATATGTAATTATTACATATTTTCATTCACCATCAGATTCGTAACAGGAAGTTACTTTTGTGACAAATTCATGAATATCTGAATGTGGATTTGCAAGACTAATTACCTAGATCCTCATTCATAATCCCGTAACAAGAGCTTTAAATCTCTGATAATTGGCCTATTTTTTAGAAACCCTCAGAAAATGGAGTGCGGCCATAATAATGGATAGAGAATGTATCAAACCTTATGAACTACCACCACCACATGAAGGTGGGAAGCCTTATCGAGTAAGCTAATTATTTCTTTCTTTTGAATTTAGTAAATATGTATATGTCGGAAAGTCAGGCGGGACCGGCGGAAAGTTAGGTTAGTCAACATCCACCATCTGACTAATGTTCGAGATATTCCTTCGAAATAAGATTGCAGATAGATCACAAATCAGTTATTTAATTGAATTACTTAGTTATCTAATCGGAGTACATTAATAATAGTGCGATGCAAACGGATTGCGATACGAAACGCGAAGAGTTCTGCGCTTGCGTAAAGTGCCATCTTCGAACAAGCATAGACCACTCCCAAGCAATGACAGCCGTCAATGTCATAACTTGACGTTTCGCAAAGCACCATAGATCCAGACAGATGACAGCTGCAGGTGACAAATGGCGTTTCGCACAATCGAAGCGCCTTCTCGCCGACATATATATATAAAGAAATGAGATTTCTAAGATTAAATAAATTTAAGCAATAAGACTAGGCTCTACCTACGTAAGTTTGGAGTGCATCTAATATTTTAGCCATTATCGACGTCTTTTCACTTAAGAACATGCAAAACAATTTCATATCTAAATACTTGGATAGGTACATATTTCAAATATTACAATTAAGATAAGGAGATTTCCTACCTAATGAAGACTTACTTCAGACAAAAGATTGAGCAGAAGGAATCAGTAAATTTAATTATTTTAATCGCAGAATGATGTGATACTCTCATGGTTTTTTAATAAATCATCTTATTGCCTGTCTATTCAGCTTAATCCCGGTGATTTGGTGTACAATATGGTTAATGCCATTCATCTTGATTCAAAGTACTATCCAGAACCGATGAAATTCAATCCAGAGAGATTCTCCGATGAAAATAAGCATAACATAGCACCGTTTACTTTCATGCCTTTTGGAATGGGACCTAGAAATTGTATTGGTGAGTATTTAGTCACACATATAAATTGGTAAATGCAACCTGCTAGATCGATTTATTACCTCAGAAATATGGTACAGGTACTATATTTAATGTAAATCGTTGGAGCTAATTTCATGATATTTACAAGAATCACTCTTTTAGAGGTATAAGATTGAGGGCTGTTTGTAAAACACCTACAACTTCTTAGTACTTACTTAGATAACAAATTCACGATTACCATGAAGTTCTAAAAATCAATAACGTCATTTCATGTAATGGTGAAGCCGATATGTAAATATGTATTTCTAAAAAAAATTGACATTTAAAAAAATCTACGTTTTAAATATCGACTTATTACAGACGTACAGTCCGCCAAGAAAGTGGTCTACCACCCTAAGGTTGAATTTCGCGTGTTACGTCAACTAACAACAAGATTGATTTTCCGTTGCATTAATTTTTTGACACGTCAAGTACAAGTCATTATTGCTATCTTCATCATTTTGACGTAACCTTTGACAGTAATTATCTATACCTATAATAAAAATGTAACAAGGTTACATTTGTAAGATATTTTGGAAAAAAAATATTTGGACGGTCTTCATAAGACTAATAGAAGCCAAAAATATTTTTTTTCTGTCTGTCTGTTTGTATGTTTAAATACTTTAGAGTTAGAATATCGTAAATAAAGTCTTATAGTCTACAAATATCCTACATTAGAATGTAGATTAATTATATTTTAATACAAATAAAAAAAATCAGTAGGTAGTGAAATGCTATGCGTAAGAAGCTATGCGTGTTATAGGTCTGAATATACTGAGATAACGGATAACAGAAATGAAAAGCGACGAAAAACATATTGCGCCGACCCATAGCTTAGTGCGAGACAAGGGCTAAAACTGGAAGAGATAGTGAAAATGCTAATTTTTTGGTTGTTAAAAAATATATACAATTCATTTATAAAATTATAATTCTTAAAATCTTGTGTAGCCGCCATCTGCCTCTATAACAGCTTGGAGACGTTCCCTCATCGAGCCCACCATTCTTGAGCAGATATCAGACCCACGTGTTTCCTCCCAAACCTCATTGCAGTGCCCTTGTAGTGCTTCTGCTGTTCGTTCATTACGGTAACACAACTCTGAACCCTAAGACCCCACATATTTTCAATAGGGTTGAGATCTGGCGATTTTGCAGGCCATGGTATCAAGTTTATTTCCGGATGTGCATCAAACCAAGCACGTGTTACCCTTGCTTTATGTAAGGGACATTTATCCTGTAAATAATTAAATTGACGCATTTCATTTTCTGGATAAACGTTCCGGACGGATGGCAACATAGCATTTTGGAGAACATCAACATAATCTGATGCCGTTGCTCGTGGTAGCAAAAAGGTCAAGTCTCCAACACCATCAGCAGTCATCCATCCATACAAATTTACCGAGATACGACCCGATTCTCTATTTGGCACGACATGATTTTGCGTGTATCGCGTTTTATTGAATCGCCAAAGGTGTAGACGCCCGTGTTGACTGGATTTAAAAAAATTCTCGTCACAGAAAACAGTGTTACTCCAATCAAAATCCAAATATTCTATGGCGAAATTTAATCTGGCCATTCTATGAGCGTCAGTCATATAAATTTTCTTTGCATAACGCCTGTGATGTAAGCCCATGTAATGTAAATCTAAAGGTTTCTAATGGTTTGGAGAGTCACGTCAAATATGTCGGCAAAATAACGCGTTGGTATAAAGCCAGATTCCTCATAACTCCGTCTCATGAAGACTCGCTGAGTATCTGATATTTCAGGTCTACGACCGCTACGACTCCGAGCGTTCAGATTCCCCTCCTCGCTTTCTCGTCTTATCCAAAGACGGACAGCTTCTCTCTATAATCAAAAATAAAATATGAACAGAAAAAATAAATTTTTTTTTACACTCAGACTTGGTTTGAGATTTTACATTAAACTCACGTCAGACATAATAATACTTACCGATACATTTAATTCTCTAGAAATCTCACTAATATTCAAACCATCATTGTGTAATGCGATTACTTGTGCTCTTTCGTTAATGGATAAATTTCGGGGCATTGTAGTGTAAATTAATTAGGAAAATACCTACGGAAAATGCCGAGAAAATATTTGACATTAATTGTCAAATGATATATTCTTTTTCAGTAAAAGAGTTTTCGTAACAAAATAGTTTCCACTTTGAAGTGACCTACTTAAATTTTAAATTTATGAAATATTGTGAAAACTATTTGTTGTTGCAAATTATTATCTAATGCATAGGCTGCAAAGGTCAAAATAACATTTGTGCTCTACGACAACACGTCAGCATTGTGCATCTATATTGTTTGTATTCAATTCTAAGATTCGCCTTTAGCGATGCTTTAAAGACACGGGAAATGTTGTCAAAACTGGTAGACCACTTTCTTGGCTGACCGTACGTGTACCAGATTGTTATAATTTTTCTAACGCTCATTTTTCAGGGTCTAGATTAGCTTTGATGGAGTTTAAGGTGCTTTTATTCAATCTGATCTTGAACTTTAAGATAGTGAAGACTGAGAACACTAGCACCACCCTGCGATTGAAGCCCGAGGGCTTCCTAATAAAGATGGACAAGGGGACTTTTGTCAAATTTGAACAGAGACAGTAAAATGTCATGAAATTTGAAAAATCACATGATAAGATGTAACGAATATTAGACGTGTGTGCAACATGTAGAATACAATTTATTATACACTTCTAGAATAATGATAGTGCTCCTTTTTCTGTATGTTTTGTGGTATCACGTATCACAGGTCCACGTCAATAATTAGTGTGATCGAATAACCTGTTATAACAGTTTAATATCATCTTAACCTGATTAAATAAGAACACAATAATAATAATATAAGAATAATATATAAACTCGTATAGGAGATCGTATCGAGATATCTTTCTTCCAATGTTTATACCTTGAAAAAGAAATATGATCTTTTTTATATTTGAGTTACAACTATTGGAAACATAAAAAAATATATATAATTATTCTTTGTTTTATTGAAACTCTGACAAACTTTACCACGGATAAAATTTGATATTGACCTTCACGCCTGTTGATATGAGACGTAGGAATTGCGTGCATTCATGAGTGTTAGGCCACATACTAAAATTAATATGCTGGGTTAAACATAAATTAATATGTGTTTCAGTGCACAGTGACTTTCTGAAATGTCCAATTAGTCAAAGCATATGCTGATGTGTAAATATTATTCTATAGACTCCCACTAGAGTTTGATGTCGTTCGCTGTAGAAATGTAAAGAATTCAATCAATGAAGGGCAAGATCGGTATATTTTAGTTATTTTCATAGTGTAATGACGTATGGTCTATTGTGGTGGGATTCTGCGGCTAGCATTCAAGATATTTTAATTTTACAAAAGAAAGCTGTCCGCGCTATATATAATTTACGGTCTAGAGAATCTCTCAGAGAAATATTTAAAGAAATAAATATATTGACTGTTGCCTCTCAATACATATATGAAAATATTATGTACGCAAGAAAACATTACGATTCCTTCACAAAAAAAGTAGTGTTTATAATTTAACACAAGAAATAAAAATAAACTTGCCGTTCCAAGCTTCAGACTTCAAAATACCAGAGGATCATTTCTGGGTTAATGCATTGCTATGTCAATAAAGTTCCACAAAATGTAGCTGACCTACCCATAAATAAATTTAAAGTTCATGTAAAGAACATACTTATGAGTAAAGGCTATTATAAAGTTGATGATTATTTTAAGGACCGCAATGCATGGAATTAATAGCCTTCGCTTTGTTCTATAAAGATTAATGTTACTAATGTTCAACATATGTCCTGCAGACTTTGAAAGTTGTATTTATTATTGTGATAATACATATCATTTTGGTAATGACATGATTTGTGTAAATGTCATTAAAAAGCTGGTAATTTTCTTTCGCTTGTTCTTCTTGTCAGCTAAAAGATGTCCTGAACAAGTGATAGGGAAAAAATTTTTTTTCGGACGATTCAAAAGTGCTTGTAATAGCCTACTTGAATAAAGATATTTTAATTTCATTTTATTTCATTTCATTTCAAACGAGTTTACCATATTCCACAAAGTAAGCTGCGCAAAATCTTATCTTCTGACAAAGTTATTTAGATTCAAAAAACATCAATAGCGATAAAGATGAGTCAGTAAAATTTTAGGCGATGTATTTCATAAGAATGACATGTTTGTGGTTTTAGATAATTGTCTAACTGGAACTGATACAGCTATTGCTGAAGTCCAAAGGTTCTTCATTTACTCACTGGACACATAAGAATCCTTTTAATAATGTATAAAAATATCGCACGATAAAATATTTTGAAGAGTTAAAATATTTCCTAAGGTCATGGGTTCGAGCCCCTCTCAGAGTGCCAGAGACAAAGTGGATTAAGCATATTATTAAGTATAGCATTTTGAATGCAAAATTTGACAAATAGAATAATGAATAAGGTCTATTATTTAATATTATTTTTAACTTAATAGTGGAGATAAAACCCTTTTGCTATTTTATAGGCATAAAGATTAAATAAATAAAACCTGTTTTTCTATATTAATCAGACACTGGCATGGTTTAGTATACCTTTTTTTTAAATTTATACTTTATACACTGTTTATTGTTTGTATGTCATTCTCTCCTTTACTCTCGTCTGACGTTTATGTATTAACAAAGTAAATTATATTTATATACACCAATCCACTGCGACTCTTACTTCAAACATTCCTATAATAGCAAGTAAAATTAATACCAAAATGAAAATACATAAATTCAGCTTTAAAATCATTTCAATGTTATATCAATTCATTCACCAGTGAACTCATCAAAGAAGATATATTTGTACTATGGAGGTTATGTTACCTAACTATTTACGTACATGTACTAGGTAAGTCATTCGATGATGACAATTGGATCTGCGGCCACTCGAGAAGATTTTTTATACATTAATAGCAAATAATAATTAAGAATTAAGATTTATTGACTAGGTTAATTTATTGACAATGAAACTAGCTTGAGCTCAGAGAGTTCCGACAGAAAGCGCTAAGTCATAGGAGACACAAGTTGAATCTGAATCATTCACTGCAGCGAAAATATCTTGATCACTCAGAAAACTCACACAGCAAGCGTTTGATCTCAGGATACTCCTTAAGATAACATAACTTACTACTAATATTAGTCTGAAATATCCTTTGATAGAGAAATGCGCTAAGATTTTGTAGAATTGAGAACGAGAAAGTAGTTTCGATTATCGCCAATCGGTGTTGCCTTCACCCTATATGTATCCCACAGGCGTACCGCAAATAAATTGATACACGGTATAATGAACTAGCTTTTAACTATCCGCTTTAATTATAACCTATTTTTCCCAAGTATGATGAGTTTCCCGTAGATGAAAGAATTTTTAAAATCAGTCCAGTGGTTTCGGAATCAATTCGTTGCAAAATAAAAACAAACAAATCTTTTCTCTTTAAAGTAAAGATTACAAGAGTTCCGATGCCATAATGAGTTAGCGCATTCGGTTTTTGATGCGGTGAAGTAAGTAAATAATGAGTATGCATTATCTATCTATACTATAATAAAAACGTAACCGATCGATGTCTGTACATTGAATATATATGAAAAAAATTGTTATGAGGGACATTTATAAGAATAATAGAACGTAAAACAATGGTTTTTAAATTTTTTGTCTTTTTGTCTGTTTGTCTGTGCGTTTGTGCACGATAATCTCAGAAACGGCTGAACCGATTTAAATGCAGTTTTCACTATTATATTGCGGCATTCTTCCGTTAACATTTAGAGTAAGATTTATTTCAATCGGTTCACAAATAAAAAAGTTATGTCAATTTGAAGTGACGGGGTCGCCAAAATTGCTTTGAAATATTTACTGTTTATTAAATTTTCGTCTTTGATATATTGATCATCATCATTAACTCTTTCACAGCCAAACTGCAGGGCCTCAGGCCTTTGTTTAAAATTTTTGGTTACCCATCCCGTGAACTCTTGCGAAAATTGCTTAGCAATAGCGATCATGCGCAGTGGCGCATATCCGTAGCGCCAGCGAGCTACGAATTAATATTGTCTATAAAATGATAATTTGTATGATGACAAAAAAAAAAAAATTCCAAAATTTTGACAATTCCAGAGTAAGTTGACCTCATTTATATATGGCCAATCATATTAAATAGGGTTCAGCTTATAATGGACATGTGGTATACGATCACGCGAGTAGGAGAACAAGCGGAAAGAGCTTTCCGATGATGCAATTAAGCCTCGAGTAGTTTACAGTGAACGCATATTTTTATCAGATTAGGTTCACGTCGTCGTCGAGGCCAGCGGAGGTGATTGGCAGCCGCTCCCGCATTGCACGGTTTCATCTGTCTGGGAGAGGCACTCGATTTATCTGAGTCTCTCCAATTTTCCATCTGCAAGGGGACCAATGGTCCAATACTTGAGGGTCCTGGTGACTCGGCCATAGCTTGCCGGTTTTCATTTCCCATGAGAGGGTGTAGAGTACGGATTTTGGTGGGTAGGCCTCTGGGGACCCACCGGGCAGCTCACTGTCGGGTTCACGGAGGAGAATCTTACTCAGCCCTGTTGCTTGCCAGGTAATAGACACAATGTCAGAAGTTTTTCCACGACGTTAAAAAACTTAGATATTTGACTTTAAAACAATATTTGACTTTTAAATATTTAATATTTAACAACATCACATACATTGCTCAGATTCCAAGATGAGTAGCTAAAGCCCCCGTATTATGGAGTATCTGAGACAACGAAGGTACAACAACACCCAGACCCGAGTCAATATAGAAAAGTTCATTTTCTACATTGACCCGACCGGGAATCGAACCCGGGACCTCAGAGATGGCGACACCTTGAAACCGGCGTGCGAACCACTCGAGTTATATATATTTTTTTCGCTTATTGCTATTTTTTTATGTTAATACTCTTTTTGTTTTTTTATTTACATACAAATTGCTGTAGATACTTACTTCAAAGTTGGTATTTTCAGTCTTCGTTGGAAACAATGCTTTATTCATTGGTCACAACACTCATATAATATTACGCGAGGGTCGGTTTAGAGTAGCTCGGTGGCGTCGTGAATAAGCGCCATGGCCCGCGATTGTAGTTGTTAAGCAACTTTCGCAAAGGTCGGGCACAGGATGGATGACCAAAAAATATTATCTCAAGCAACTCCAAGCTTTGGAAAGTACGTAAAGCGATTGGTCCCGGTTGTATTTGCAGTCGTTAATGTCCTCCAATCCACATTGGGCCAGCATGGAGGGTCGTGGCCCATCCTCTTTAACCATCCATAAGGAAGGCCTGAGCTCCTGCAGTTGGTGACGTAAAAGGGCTGATTATGATGGTGAGGGCGGTTCAAATCTGACAGAAGCTCAGTTAAGCACCGTACGGAAGTTTGTTAGTAGACGATTTCCTTCGAGTGTGGAAAGTCGAAATTAAAATATGTATATATTTTTTTATATCAATAAACAAAACTCCACGTAGGTATCTTCCGTCAGACATGTACTGACCGACTTTTATAGACAAAGAAAGAGATCAGCAGAAAGCCCTCTGTCTCACCTGAAAAACGCGAAGCGTATTTAACTGCCCA